TCTCAATGGAAAACAATTGTGAAATTTGAAAGTAAGCAAATGTTAAAATGTCAATGTAATTGGTATCAAAATGAAAGGTCTTGCCACATAGAATTCTTATATAGAGTATGAAAGCCCTAACCCTAACCGGTCAGAAGTTATGACCTAGGTTATTTTTATAAAGTAGGTCAAACACCAACGTCAAGGTCAAAGGGTCAATGTTCTTGGTATCCAATGAAGTAACTTCTCACAAGGATTAAATGTGTTAAGTATGAAAGCACTAGCCATAATACTTTAAAAGTTATGGTTAATGTTTGCTTTTTTAAAGTAGGTCAATCTCAAAGGTCAAAGGGTCAAAATTCTCGGTATCCAATTAAGTAACTTCTCACAAGGATCAAGTATTATAAGATGAAGAATGAAAGTCATATCCCCTACCGTTCAAAAGATATAGCCAAGGTTAAAGTTTCTTCACAAGTACGGAAATCTACAAGGTCACGGTCAAAGGATCAAGGCTGTTGGTATCAAATGAAAGGTCACTCAAAAAAGATTACATATGTGAAGTATAAATGTCTTGGCATCTACTGTTCAAAAGATTTGGCCAAAGTAAACGTTTAAAATTTTCATGACAAATGGGTCAGAATGCAAAAATTAATATAAATAATCAAGAGCTAATATCAGCCTTTCAGTGCTGAAACCATTGTTAAAAAAGGATGACTCAAAGATCTATAAAATAAAAAGTTGGTGTGCCATTCGCCTTAAACGTTTATGAAGAGTTATTTGCATTAGATGAAAAGAAGAAAAATTATTATTTCTCAAAGTATCTTAACTTAATAAAGATATAGTTTATTCAAATATTTACAAAGATATTAAGAACATAAAGAATCAAGGATCATTATTCTATTAATTGCCGTTGTAAAGTTTCAATTCCCAACTGTTTAAGCAGTTTTCTCTTTGTAACAGGGGTATGGAAATGATTGACAACTCCTGTCAGGGTTCTTTATATTTATTCGCAGTGGAGTGACATGGCATATACATCAATTTTATTATAGCCCTGTAAATATCATAAAACAACAATAAATATAATGTAAATATCACATAATGTTCAATCATTACTTTTACATGTAACATGAAGATAATAGATTATCATCCTAAGTTTACATAATTATCATCAAAGGGAGATAACTCTTGAATATATAAATCTTTACATACTTCTCCCAAAATTATCATAAAAAGATATCCAAGATAAAACATATAAATCTCACCATTCTGTGGGAACAGGCTTTCCCAATAAAGTGTCTGACTGACAAAATGTATGTCTGTATATGAAATTAATGGTGATCTGTAATTTAATACAATAACACTTAAAATATAATCTCTTAAAAATATACCAATTGCTCACTTTGAACAATATAATCAAAAATATCTTTGATCATCATAAAAACATATAATTTGATTAACATCAAATTACTTCTAGAAAATACTTCATATTGATCTCATAACCAATAATAAATATGCATCATAAAATAACTTTCTCTCAAATTCATTCATTCACTTTAGTAAGTGCAATTGGAAATAGCTTTTGCATACTATAGGATGAACATTTAAAATAAGAAAATATTAGTAACTTACCAGAGAAGGAAAATCTTCTGTCTCAAGTCTATGTATATAGATCTAAATAAAAGGTCTGGTCTGATCAACCCACAGAACAAAGAATGGTCATAATAAAGCGGGAAAAATCCAGACCAACCAAGAAAACCAATCGAATCCGACCTTTCAAAACAATGACCAATAAAACCCAAAATAACAACGACCACTTCCAAAATACCTGATCAATGCCCTGGGGTATATACAAACATGTACAGGTAATACAGGTAAGGGAGAACTAAGGAGTGGATCTAGGTTTTTAATAAGTTAAATAAAAATTAAAATAAATATTCTGGCAAGTTCTATAACTTTATTTTATACAAATCTAACACTATTACATCTTCCTTTGCTGTAAGTCAAACCAGTAGAGCTTCATTCTCGACAGAGACTTCTGGTTACCCGTAGGCCTTGAAATACCCGGAGATGTCCAGAAATTGTAAACAATTTTTTGTGATCGTCATCAATCGCGTCTGATCTAGTTTTTCTGCTGGTAAAATTCCAACATGCGGCGTCTGTTTTAAGAACAGTTGCTTGATGTTTTTTTTCCTACATAGTCGTTTGCTTTTCAGACATAGGCTTCTACTCACTTGTTTTTTTTTTATTTATTTTCTCAGAACTAACGGATGTTGTAATGACGTCCATAACGGTCACTGCCGTTTTAGATCGCTGTTTTTTCGTAGTCGAAATTACTGTATACAGGGTTATTTTCGCCCCGTGTTATTTTCGCCCTTTTGAACTTGTGAACAATTTTGCCCCGTTTTAAATTCGCCCAATCATATTTCTGTTTAAGAAATTATGAGGTGTAATTTGAATTCGCCCCGTTTTAAATTCGCCCAATCAAGAAGAGGGCGAAAGGGGCGAAAATAAAACGGGGGCGAAAATTTCCCTGTATACAATATTTCTTGTAAATTTTCAATAATTGCAGAATTTGTAGCATGCTCGACTTTCTCCTCAGCACTGGTAATTACATTCATGTCTCTCAAAATTTTTACTGTCAGTGAATTTGGGTCTTTTGTGCATTCTGACAAAATAGTTGCAAGCTTTTGGGGTGTTGACGGAAGCGATTCGTTGACTTTGCGCAATGCCCTCCATTGCGCCATTCTGTTGTTATAGGGCGTCCTTTTTAGGCGGAAGCAGCCGTCTTTTACATTTGCTTTGTTGACCTTCGACCTCTCAAGATGTCAAAGTTCATTTTTGCCCCGTTTCATTTGTTCGAATCCCGGTCTGGGCTGCTGCATTTTCTCCACTCCTGTTACAGATTTGGTGCCGTTGACCACCCCTGGAATTGCAGGTGAAAGTCCTTCCAGGGGCAATAAGAACTTGGGTTGTGTCTTCGAGGGCGAAGACAATTTAAGGAGGGAGGAATGAAATGGTTTGGGCCGTGGTTATCGGCCTGGATAGCTCAGTTGGTAGAGCACCTGACTAGAGATGCAGGGGTCCCAGGTTTGATTCCCGGTCCAGCCATACATTTTCTCCTTTCCTGTTACAAATTTGTAAACTAAGAAACAAAAACATAAACAGTGCAAATTCTGTGGCAAGTATCATGAATTAAAGAAAGAAAAATGCCCCGCATACGGAAAAACTTGCAGAAAGTGCCACAAACTCAACCATTTCGAAAACAAGTGCTCATCATACACTAAATATGGGCCCACAAAGATCACGAAGAAGAAAGTTCATGCAGTAGACTTTTGTGAAAGCTCCGACTCAGATGATTACTACCAGTCGAACTCTTGTCATTAACTCAGATCGCATCTGTGAACTCTTTGAACTCCGAAATAGCACAGGCAACCATGCTAATCCAAGGACAGAAAGTCAAATTTCAGCTTGACACAGGAGCTACGTGTAACATTCTACCTATAAACCATTTGCGTCATGTTCCTCCTCTGCGCCCAACTAATTACAAGCTCCGTATGTATAATGGCACAACGATCAAGCCCCTTGGAAAATTTGCGTTATCAGCGACCAACCCCAAAAACCAGATCACTCAGGAAGCTGATTTCGTTATCATCAAAGACAACTGTATGCCTCTACTAGGTAACGATACACTTCAGGATATGGAACTACTACAACGGAATAGTGAGAATATTCTAGCCATTTCCAACTATTCACCTATCACCAAAGAGCAGCTGCTCACTGAGTACAAGGATGTGTTTGAAGGCATTGGACGTTTGGAAGGAGACTATCATCTTGTTGTTGACAAGTCCGTTCCTCCAGTTGTACACTCTCCAAGGAGAGTTCCTCTAGCTCTCAAAGCACAGCTGAAAGATGGAACTTGATCGTCTATAGAATCGGAACATTATCGCTCAAGTGAGTGAACCTACACCATGGGTTTCTAGTTGCCTCATGGTTGTCAAACCGAATAAACTGCGGATATGTATTGACCCAAAAGACTTAAATAAAGCTCTGAAGCGTAGTTATTATCCGCTACCTACTATTGAGGAAGTTTTTTCACAGTTAACCAAGGCCAAAGTTTTCAGTGTCTTTGATGCCAAGAATGGGTTCTGGCACGTCCAGATGGATCATGAAAGTTCACTGTTAACTACATTCAATACGCCCTTCGGACGCTATCGCTGGCTAAGAATGCCCTTTGGCCTGTCTACAGCCCCTGAAGAATACCAAAGGAGACAAGACCAAGCTGTTGAGGGATTGCCGGGTATACATAGTGTAGCAGATGGCATTCTTGTGTATGGCGAGGGGGATACTTGACCACGACCGAAAGTTATGCACTGATGGACCGGTGTCGAGAAAGTGGACTCGTTCTAAACAAAGACAAACTTCGATTACGACAGAAGGAAGTGCGATTCATTGGACACCTCGTTACATCAGAAGGTCTGAAACCGGACCCCGAAAAGGTGAAAGCAGTTAAAGAGATGCCGAATCCCGAGGATGTTGCTGGTGTCAGGAGATTTCTTGGATTTGTGAACTATCTTAGCAAATTCTTGCCATCCCTAAGTGATTTGTGTGAGCCACTTAGGAAACTTACGCTCAAAGACGCTGAATGGAGCTGGCATGAGGTCCATGACAAAGCTGTGTCTGACATAAAACAGTTAGTCATTTCTGAACCGGTGCTTAGTTACTTTGATCCTAACAAAAGCCCAACTCTTCAGTGTGATGCCTCGGAAACTGGACTGGAAGCCACAATCTTACAGGAAGGAAAGCCTGTTGCTTTCGCAAGTCGTGCATTGACTGACACAGAGACTCGGTATGCACAGATCGAAAAAGAGTTATTGGCAGTGTATTTGGACTTTAAAAATTCCACCAATACACATATGGACGTGATGTGACTGTTCAGAGTGACCACAAGCCCTTGGAGATTATCCTTAGAAAACCACTTCACATTGCACCTAAACGACTTGGCATATCATCTTGGGAAAGAAATGTACCTAGCAGACACTTTGAGCAGGGCATACCTAAGAAACAACGACCAGACTGGCACACTTGAAGAGGAAGCAATACATCAGGCACGATTTCTCCCTGTGATCAAAGACAGACTTCATGAACTGAGACAGGAAACTCAGGAAGACAAAACACTAGTAGAGCTGATCAAAGTTATTCTCTCAGGATGGCCAGAAATCTCTGCGTGTGTTTCAGCTCCCTTACAGCCATATTTCAGCATCCGTGATGAATTGACATTTCAAGACGGCATTGTATTTAAAGGAGAGCGCATTCTTATCCCAGAGACAATGAGAATGGACATGTTGCACCGTATTCACTCATCTCATATTGGAGTTGAAGGACGTCTCAGGAGAGCTCGTGAAAATTTGTTCTGGCTGGGTATGACCAAAGATGTGAAAGACTTTGTGACTAAGTGTGATACCTGTCGTTCCTTTGATGACAAACAAATGAAAGAGACCCTCGTAATCCATGATGTACCCACACGTCCATGGGCCAAAGTAGCTAGTGACCTAGTTAGCCACAATTCGAAGGAGTACCTTGTGACCGTTGATTATTTCTCTAACTTTTGGGAGGTTGACTATCTTCGCAATACTAAGTCGAAGACTGTAATTCAGAAACTGAAGGCATTGTTTCCACGCTATGGGATTCCAGACACCCTTGTATCTGACAATGGGCCCCAGTTTGCCTCTACTGAGTTCCAACAGTTCGCCAAGGAATGGGAATTCAGTCATGTGACTAGCTCACCGAAGTACCCCCAAAGTAATGGAAAAGCTGAGCAAGCTGTCAAAATGGCCGAAAGATTGCTGAAACGAGCCTTGAAATCTCTGTCTGATCCTTATCTATCTCTGCTAGATTTTCGTAACACACCTACTCAAGGAATGGATACTAGCCCAGCTCAGCGTTTGATGAGTCGAAGCACGAAGACACTCTTGCCTACAAAGGAGACCCTCCTAGTTCCGGAAGTTTATCTGTTGAAATCTCAGAAGCAATTAACCTCTCTAGACCGAAGACAAGCTTGGTACTATAATCGTGGAGCAAGAGATCTACGACCACTGGATATCGGAGAAAAGGTGCATATAGCACCACCAGAAACATTAGGACATACTGACAACGAATGGAGAAAAGGAACTGTGAAACATTCACTAGGAAACAGATTGTATGAAATTGAATCTAATGGACAGACATACCGTAGGAATCGTCGTGACCTCCGTCCAAGTCAACTTGCTGACACAGACGCTCACATGTATGAGGACATTGATGACAGACCCGTCCAGGAACAACCTGGACGCATTAACTGGACAAACTTCTGTGAATCCAACCTCAAAACCTACCAGTGCACCCAAGAGTGATACTGCACCCCCACTTACCACACGATCAGGTCGAGTGGTTAAGGAACCATCTCGATTCAAGGACTATGTGAATTAGACTTCAGTTTAGATTCATTTTGCTAGTCATGAGTAAGCCGTTTTATAAGGGCACAATAAACCCTTGACTTGCTCACCCTTGAGCAAGAAGCTCAAAATTATGTTTTAGTGAGATTACTTTGAATATGTTGTTAATTGCATGTTTTGTCTCGCACATTTTAACTATAACAGATTTTGTATAAACTATCTGGTGTAATACAGCAACTTAAAGGAAGGAAGGTGTAACACGTTTTGCGTTTTGTGAACTTTATTAATTTCATTCTTAAATATTAATTTACTTTCGTTTTGTTAGATGAGAGTTTCAAAAATAAATCAGTTTGTTATACCGTTAACTGAGCTGCTGTTGTGATTTAAGATTGTGCACCAAAGCTGCACGCTATACGGTGTTTTAATACTTTAACAATGCTGTTTCTATTGAACTATACTACACGGAAGTGAAACAGAAGGAAGAGAACAGTAGCATTTGAATTTGAAACTTTGTAATGGCATAAGTATATATTTACGTTCGCTGTGTTTTTCTAGTAAGCCTACTTTGAAATTGATTTGTAAACCATTTTCGTGTATACTCACGCGTAGAAATATACACGGAGAAACGTTACGTCACAATGAGGCTGCAGCGACGTTAGTAAAAATGCACCGATATAGGGCAGCGAGAAATTCAAATATTGAGTGTATTTTTGGTGCTTCCAAAAAAGTAAAATGCAAATATAAGGAATGTTTTTAAGTTTAGTGCGAATTATTGGTGTGTGAATCACACAGACGCGCTCGTAGGCATATTTTTTTTTATGAAGAGCTACGGCGCTTCACAAAAAAATATGCCTACGTAACAATTCTGTGTGATTCACACACCATAACTCACACAAAACTTTAAAACATTCCTTAAATAACCGTTCACGGTAGCTCAGTCAGTAGAGCGCTCGCTCCGTGATCGGGAGGTCGTGAGTTCGTATCTCGGCCGCGACTGACCCAGTCGATAAAATGGGTAGCAACTGTTCCTTCGCCATGCGCTCGGCACTTTGAAGTGAAAGTTGCAGGTCCTTCGGATGAGACCTTAAAAACCGAGGCCCCGTGTCAGCGGCAGGCGTTGGCACGATCAAGATCCCTCACTGCTCAATGGCCCTGAGTGCCGAGTAAAGGTCAAAATTTGAAGCCCTTCACCGGCATACGGTGACGTCTCCATATGAGTGAAAAATTCTCGAAAGGGACGTTAAACAATATACAATCAATCATTCCTTAAATAATAGATCATTGGTTTAGTCATGTTCTTGGCAACATTTATTGAAATCGGACCTAAACTGTTTGAGGAGAAGCGAAAATATTTAAAAGAAATTTATGATTTTAGTAACCATACCAACTCTTCTCATAGAAATCAAAAACCGATAAAAGAGTAATATGTATCTTAGTCATGAAAATGTAGTCTACTTGTATGCAAAATTATATTGAAAGCAAACTGCAACTGTATGAGGAGTGGTAGCATTTTGCTTTTTGTTAATTGCTTAACGTCCCTCGAGAGATCTTTTTCACGCATATGGAGACGTCATCACTTGCCGGTGGAGAGCTGCAATATTTGTCCTATACTCAGCACTAAGGGCCATTGAGCAGGGAAGGATCGTTTTCGTGCCAGCACCTATATACTACGACATGGGACCACGGTTTATACGGTCTCATCCGAAGGACCGGTCTCCACGTCCCACAGTGAGATTCGAACCCGCGACGTAAGAATAACTCCTTACTTCGCGACTCTAGAGCAGACGCTCAAACCACTGCGCCACGCAGGCGACGAGTAGCATTTCGGAAAATATTTCACAGAATTTCTATTTTTAGTAACCAGTGTACCAAGACAACACTTCATCGAGATCAAAACCTGATACACAGAAATATGTATCTTAGTGTAGTCTACTTGTGTGCTAAAATTATATAGAAATCAGACCTATACATGTACTGTAGAGATGTAGCATATAGAAAATATTTGAAAGAAGTTTCTATTTTTAGTAACCATGACAAAACCGTTCATCGAAATCAAAACCCGATACACAGAAATATGTGTCTTAGGGTAGTATACTTGCGCAATCATGATGAAGGATAGGGAAATGATGGAAAGTATTCAACATCAAAGTCCATAAAACAATACAAAATAGGAGCAGAGCAAACGCGGGACTCCAAAACATCAGAGGTGGGGTCAGGTGCTGTGGAGGAGTGAGCATCCCCTGCCGACCGGTAACACCCACCGTGTGCTCTTTGTCATGATCGGGTTTTTAACGGGAAAATCCGTCGTCAATTCAGTGTATAAATAATCGACTTACACCTAGTATGAAAAACGTCTGTCAGCATTTGAATCAATGATGTTATATTTGTTGACAAGGCCATTGTATCGACCATAGAACTTACGAAATGATGACGTTAAACGAGACTGCTGATATTCTTATTTCATCAATTTGTTTGTCAATAATTTACCTGGTTTTAGATATTGTTCATACCTATAGATCATGCTCTTGGAAAAAGGCAACTTTGAATATAGTTTAAAGGGCGATGCAATGACATTGTTGAAAAACGAAGGCAGATCCTGGAAGAAAAGAAAGTTTCACCTGCCAAAGTGGAACAAAATTTACTGACACAACAAAAGAGACAAACAAATAAAATAGAATATGATGCGCTAAAGCAGTCGTATTGAAGAGTTGGTGCTGCACTAGGAGAAAATTATCATGGAAAGCATTGGGTGTTCAACTTTGCTTTGGATTTGGAAACTTTTAAGGGGGCTCTCTACACCACCAACGTAGGAAAGATGTTTTATTGCATACATTCGCTTTCAATAGTGTAGTCAATATCCAAGAAAAATAAATTCCCAAAGTACTAAGGTTTATTTTATATTAATTTTTTACACTAAAAATCATATAACAGAAATCTATTATTTTTCACTTATTTCAATGCTTAAGGCTTTCAATTTTCTATAGAAATCCGTTGTTCTGCAAACTTAAAATAAAATACAAAAACAACATAAATGAATGTTGAACATTTTTTTTTTTATTCAAATCTACAAAAAAGAGGAAAAAAATTACTGTAAAACTGTAAAAAATATAAATAATATTTATAGATAAGTAAAATGAAAGAGAGAAATTGAAAAAAATTGAAAAATTGAACAAAATATTAAAACATTACAAAAATCATGCTATGAAAGATCCTATTAAAGAGCTATCTTACTTTATTTTACCTGGACTCAAATATCTTGTTATCAATTTCCATTTTCAATGATAAAATGCAAAAAAAAAATAATTAATAATACAAATAATTATTTTATGCACAAATATTTAAAAAAGGAAGTACTTGTCATAATGATCATGATGAGTATACAAGAAAAAGCCACTACAGCTACAATGAAATACATATATAGTTATACCCCACGCAACTAGTTGCGGGAGGTATAATGTTTTTGACCCGTCCGTCAGTCAGTCAGTCAGTCAGTCCGTCAGTCAGTCAGTCATCTTTTTTTTGTCAGCGCAACTCCTCATAAACTGCCGCACAGAATTTCGTCAAACTTTGCAGGTATTTAGGACACAATGTGTAGATGTGCATATTACCAGGAAATTCCGATTCCGTTATTTTTTCCGGGACTTTCCACACTAAAAACTTAGGCATTTGGCCATACCTTTTATATAGAGGTGAACAGTTTGTCAGCGCAACTCTTCATAAACCGCTGCACAGAATTTCGTTAAACTTTGCAGATATTTAGGACACAATGTGTAGATGTGCATATTACCAGGAAATTCCGATTCCATTATTTTTTCCGGGAATTTCCGCACCTTTCAACTTAGGCATTTGGCCATACCTTTTATATAGAGATGAACAGTTTGTCAGCGCAACTCCTCATAAACTGCTGCACGGAATTTCGTCAAACTTTGCAGGTATTTAGGACACAATGTGCAGATGTGCATATTACCAGGAAATTCCGATTCCATTATTTTTTTCCGGGAATTTCCGCACTTTTTAACTTAGGCATTTGGCCATCCTTTTACATGTATATAGAGATGAACAGTTTGTCAGCGCAACACTTCATAAACCGCTGCACAGAATTTCGTCAAACTTTGCAGATATTTAGGACACAATATGTAGACGTGGATATTCCCAGGAAATTCCGATTCCGTTATTTTTTCCGGGAATTTCCGCACTAAATACTTAGGTTTTTGGCCATACCTTGAATATAGAGATGAACAGTTTGTCAGCGCAACTCCTCATAAACAGCTGCACAGAATTTCGTTAAACTTTGCAGATATTTAGGACACAATATGCAGATGTGCATATTACCAGGAAATTCCGATTCCTTTATTTTTTCCGGGACTTTCCGCACTAAAAACTTAGGTTTTTGGCCATACCTTTTATATAGATATGAACAGTTTGTCAGCGCAACTCCTCATAAACCACAGCACAGAATTTCGTTAAACTTTGCAGATATTTAGGACACAATATATGTAGATGTTCATATTACCAGGAAATTCCGATTCCTTTATTTTTCCGGGAATTTCCACACTTTCCAACTTAGACTTTTTGGCCATATTTTGAATATACAGATGAACAGTTTGTCAGCACCACTCCTCTTAAACTGTTGTACATAGTTTCGTCAACCTATGCAGATGTTTAGGACATATTCCATTATTTTATCCCAAAGAGTTTTGCGTATTATTCAAGGATATTTCTCACCCACCCACCCCACCCCACCCCCTTCAAATTAATGTTTGGATTTGTATAATGCCAAGAAATTTTGATTCCATTATTTATCTAGAAACTTCATTCCACATTTAAATGTCCTCATATGCAAGACATTTTGATGTGAAGATTTTTTTGCAATTATTGCGTTTTTGATCTATACTATGTATTTAAGGTGCACTAGCTGTGCCTTTCATTATGTGTTTCACTGTCAAGTTTTGGGGGAGCGTGGGGTATGTGAGCTAGCTCACTTTTTCTTTCATTATAAAAGCAAAAAAAAAAAAAATTAAAAATAAAAACACGCACACATGCACATAGAGAGAGGACAAAAAAAAATGCCAAAACACAGTCTGTAAATAAATAGAACACAAACAAGGGAAAGACAAAACAGAAACATTTGAATTGATTAAATTTAAGGGACTCCGACCCTCAGCCAGGAAGGACAACTCTTTAATTTATAATTGAATTCAAAAAGTCTTTGAATGAAGCTTGAAAATGAAATCTTTTCATGCAACAATTTTCATTATATGAATCAGCTTAAATCAGCGTCAAATAGAGATAATTATTTTCTTTAATGCATAATATGAATAAAGGAACGTTTTAACGTCATAAGTCAACATGAAATAATTCTAAATATATGTACAATATATGTTAAGGTATATTTAAGTCACCTCTACCGGCAGCCTAAGTTTTGCTAAGATTGCTAAATCTTATTACGCTTCTTGTTATGGTCTTAAGTTTTAGAATGTACTTAAGTCCTACTTAAGCACGGTCTTAGACTTAAGTATCCTTTATGTTGCGACCCCCAGGTCTTTACAGGATATGCACACTATCTCCAAGACAATGGAATCATACTTACATTGTTATGATGTATTAAATATGTAAAAGTTATTAAAAGTACATTCATATATATTTTTAAATATCTTTGCAAATAAAACAAACAACTTGATTCAAATTCCATGTTCAGAAAAAGAAAATCAGGAAGAGAAATGAGTGACCAACTTCGCAAACGGGTCTGCCATCCGGCATCAAAACTTACAGCCTCCGCACGGTCAGAATTTTCACAGCTGAAGTTTCAAGAATGACTGTATATATATATTTGTTGTACAAAGTACAAATATATATATATATATATATATATATATATATATATATATATATATATATATATAGATGTGTATGTGTGTGTGTGAGGGTGTGTGTGTGGGTGTGTGGGTGTAACATTATTTTTAAAAATGGAGGTTTTTCCATGAAATTGTTTATTGCCTTAAAATTAAAAATATTTAGAAATTATATTAAAATCAATTATTAAAATCATAATTAAGAATATTTTCTAAACGGTCTTTTTCTTCTCTTAGTGCGTCTTGGCATGTCTCGTCTGCTACCGCCTCTAAAGCTATGCCTGCCTCCCTTTCTCTCTTTTTTAATGTTGTTGGTGAAACAGATGGTAGATCTAGTGTCAAAGCAGAGTATTCACAACTGTTTCACCAATCCCACAAAAAAGAATTGCTGAAACAGGTCAAGTCAGTTATTAAAACTTCTGCTTTTTTGTAGATATAAATAATGATTATGAAAAAAAAATGTATTTCTTTTGAAAGATTATGTTTACCTGCACCAAATTTGGGAATTCACATCCCATACATTTTGGCCATGCCTTTTCCCAGTGGGGACAAGTGTAACATTTAGATAGTGTACACATTTCATGTGAAGTAAACTACCTGTATCAAAATATATCTACATGTTAGTTTTATGCAAATACTATACAACTTCATTATTAGCAATATATACTGAAAGGAAAAAGAAATGCATAAGAACATAACATGCGAAAATTTTTGACTATGTGGCCGAAATTAAAATTATGAAAATTGGTCATACGTGTATTTTTGTTACTTTGCGCTAAAATCGCTGGTCAAATCTACACAATTACACTGGGTCCGTAATTGAAGTGCGTAAGTGAATAAAAAGGCAACAACCTGTTGCTGTGCAGTTTGATTAAAACTTTTCAACAAAAAAGTTTATTTCAGTTGTCAGAGAGTAACTTAAAAGGTTTCCAACCAACCATGGCATGACGTTGAGGCGTAGCAACGTCACATCAAGACAAGGCCTTTCATCATGACACCTCGGTTATTGTCAAGGCATTATCACTGAAACCGATATTTATACATCAGACTATCATACCCATATTTTCCACCCTAAAATTGACAGAAATTCTCTGCTCTAATTTTGCCCGCGAGCTTGGCAACTTTTATTCTCACACGCGCACGTACCCGTGGAATGCGTAACGCGTAATGTTTTTAAGATGTTCACACTGGGAAAATGTAGCCAGTGTTTGTCGAGACTTTCTTGCAAACATTCACGTGTAAGAATCCAGCTGGATTCTGTAAATTCTATCCTAAAACGAAAATTCGTGGCATTCATTTGGCAGGGGGATTTTTTGGCTTTGGAAAATTACAGCTACTGTCAACCATTAAGATTATTGTCGGAAGGGTTGAATAATAATCCTATGAGAAAGATAAATGCTCTGGTGAACTCAATGCACAGGAAAATCAAGGCTTTTACCAATGTGCAACGGAGATGATGAGAATTTTTATTTTAATTTTGGGGAGTATCGACATATCAATTTCAAAAACTCATGAATTATCAGTCAAAGTCAAACAAGATTTTGGTAACTTGTTGATTAAAGATGAATTAAAATGTTTGATAACAATACTGGAAAACGTTTTCGAAATAATAGTTTTAATTTAATTTCAAAGTGTAATATGCGTTTCTTTTTCCTTTCAGTATATATTTTATCAGTTTAAAATATTACTTATTTTGATTACTAACAAGCATGTGTGGTGATGAAAACAAATATGATACAAAATTATAATGTATATTTATACAATGTTATCATAAAATTATTAGTATTTTCTAGTATTTTAATAATACCTAGTCCATATCTGGTATCTCATATGCAAGAAGACAACTGTAAAGGTTCCCTGCATGAATGGCATCCTTTACCCAGCTCTTGGTTTAAAAAATTAATGTCTATGATGTGTCGCCCTTGCAAGTGAAAGACATTTCCACCTAAATGGTGTATATAAATATATTTAAAATGAAGGCATGTTATTTAAACTTGTTTACATGACAGTTTACCAATGCAGAGAGAGAGAAAGACGGAGAGATCCAGGTTTTAGATTCATATATTTATTCAATGCTTACCATTTCTCTCAGGTTCTTCTTCGTCACTCGCTGATGAACTACATGTATATTCATCTGTGTCTTCCTCCTCCTCCTTTTCCTCCTCATACTCAGGAACATCTGTGTCTGGGCCTTATAAAGTATTGACATTGTATAAATTTTCATTTGAAAAAAAAAAAGAAGTATTTTATTAAATAAATGTACACATTTTATTTGAAATGCTTTTATATAAATTTATCATTCCTTGGAATGTATACACTTACATGAATCAACAACAATAGATATATAAGAATGATTATGAAAAACATGGTCCTCTGTAGACAATGTGGTAGAATCCTCTGGTTCCTCTCCTCTTGAAAATCTTCCCCTGTTTTTGCAACCTATCAATTTTCAACAGTTGAAATCAAGTTACATTCAAATAAACAAATCAGATTTCATCCCTCAACCGCAATGTTTAAATAAACTTCTTATAGTAATGAAATATTAGCGAAAACAAATCTCCAATTTATTTGATTATTAAATTGTATGATACCTTTTTCTAACACAAGGTAAACAAGCTCTAGTGAAAACCATTAAAATATTTTCAGGATGTACTTCTGAATTCAAAGTTTTAATTAAGCAAATCATACTCACCGTCTCATCAAAGGTGTAGGTATGGTCTGAGCCGTCGATGACATTTTCCAATCAAGTTTAAAAGCAAGAAACCCCGGTTTCGTTAGAAAATCACGTTCTTCGTGCAAAAACAGCTGATAATCAATGTCCGTAAAATGCTTGAGTAAAGGGCAAAGACATAGTCTTTTCAGAACGTTTTGGTGATTTAAATATTAAAACAGAAGCGTTCCAATTAGCGGTGTATCGAGAATTTGTTCACACCATTATCGGTATATTTCGGATCAAAATGGCGTTTCAAACGGAAGTCAGCCATGTTGTGACGTCGTAGAGGTCCCCCTTAAAGTTCAGTTCAATAAACAAAATTTATTAATCGATAAATTGCTGAAACTTATCATGGGCCATCAAATTTCACAGGTGTATTGCTTGTGACAAGACCTTTCTTTGGGTATCCCCATACGCACACAAAACTGACACAAACCCTTTGACAGTAACTGCGGTACTACTCTTCTACAGGCCAAATTCATATTTTTTTTCAAGAAAGGTCACGTCGGACGGCGAGATAAATCAAAATTGTACACGTCAGCATCATGCAATATCTACCAATCACAAAAGAGAGGAAGTATAAAGACCGAAGACTGTCGAGAAAACTTCCAACTCTGTATACCGTCTTCCAAGGAAGACGGTTATCACGGCAAGCTTCAATGGTCTGGTTTGTGACAATATGTTCTTTTATGTAAAGAGGATATGCAGGTCGTATCGAGTACAATAGAGGGATATACATGTCCAAGGAATCTACTTTTTTATGGATTTTGTTACCATTTTGCACAGAGTCGGTTACAGAGAACAATTGTCTAATCCTATGACAAACCGAGAAAACATGCTGCTTTACTATATGTTTACATTTTATCACAGACACATTGTTTAGGTCAATTATCCCATTATCTCTACTAAATTTCAAACTTCTAATGGTCAACCAAAGCTGTTTATACATAATAATACGCATGGAACCCCAGTGATTACCATTTTGGGTCAACAAATGCACGTGAAAATTGTATTAACTGATACTCGGGAATACATGTAGACCTAACATTTTGCCAACCAAACACCATAAAAACTTTAAACAACTAGCATGCAATTTTATAAATCAATTGTTTGTTCCTGGGAAGCGTAGATCCTTTTTCCATCATGAAATTCCCTTAGTATTTCGTGGTACTCACTCGTAACGCATATCATTTACAAGTAGCTGATTAGTCAGAAAGCATTGCCAGTGTCTCGATTAGCATACGACTTTATTCTTACTCAGAAAAAATAGTTTCGTCCATTTGTTTATAATGGAAAAGGCCAGCTAGATTTAAAAAAAAAAGCATGTGAGCGCAGTTAGGGACATTTTTCTCCTTTCACATTTCAAATATCATCAGAGGATCTGGAGGAGATCCGAGAAAATGTGGGAATCATTAACTATGCTAGGACATCCTTATTCCTATGCAAAGAAGCTAGGTCTTTTCAGTTATTGTGAAACACATTCGTCGATGTGATGAAAAAGTATTTGGAGTTTCTAAATCAACAGAAAGAAAGATCTCGTTTTAACCAACAACAACTCGAGCCTGTTAGAGGATTGAATGATAAATGGTTACTGAAGAAAATTGAAAAATCAGAAATATTACAAAAAAGTATGATTAAATCCATCAGTCACAAGTGACTTCTGAAAATTGAATAATATCAGGCATTATCAAGCCCTTGTTTTTATAAAACATACAATCAGATGACAGGCTTGATAGATGAGATTGGCTGGAAAAGACGTATGCACCTTATCTTGTAAAGTTACACACGCATAGAATATATTTGGCAATAAGCCCCACATGGCGAACTTTTTTTTTCTGGAAGAGGATCTTATGTCTGTTGTATTTTATTAATATACACTTTCACTTTTTATAAAACCTAAAACTAACCAAGATTTATTGTACCGTGTGCAAAGCGTAAACCTAGCATAGGTTACGTCAAACGTGTTTATGATCTATGTGACTTAGTGGCGATTCATTGACGGGGTTTCTGACCCACATAAAAGAAAACTCAAGAGAGAAAATTACTTTGATGAATATGATCCTACTAAAAGATCAAGATCATTTTTTAAGAAATGGTTCAAAAATAGACTATGGTTGGCAGACATTACGTGCGGTATGATATGTTTATGTTGTCAGAAGCATGACAATGAGTCGAAATAGAGCTTTATATCCGGTTGCAAGTCGTATAAATTGGAGAAAGTAATAAGTGAATAAAACATTTAAGATCAAAGAATATTGAAGAGAGAATACCAAATTGATTGAAAAATCCTAAGCAGCTTACTTTTTATGGACAAGAATAACATGGAGAAATTGTGTAGAATGTTTGCTTTCAATCTTTTTATGTATAGTGAAGGAAATGGCTTTTAATCTAGGAACAGAGTGTGCAGTGGTTTGCTTCGATTACAAATCTGTAGTACCCACTGGAGAACCATGTGCACCTACATCAGCTGGAGTTAGAGCCACAATAAATCCCTTATCCCAGAAGGTGCAAAATAGTCTCCTTTGGGTCATGATCATGATTTTCACATTCATGGGACGATTCAATCTGTCTTATTTGGTGTTGAGATGACAAGATGTAAAGATGATAGATTCTACACGACCGTTTATGAAACTGTTGAGGACTAAGTGTATACCCCTTCCAGTCCCCTAAGACATGCTTCTATGTTTTTATTTTGAGAAACTTTCACAAAGTGACGATGATCACCGGACAACTAATTGCAGTAGTAAGCTTGCTCATATTGCAACTTATATGCAGTAATAAATATAGAAATAATGTCTTTTTACTTTATTTGATTAATAATTCATCTCCCAGCGAAATATGACAAATACCAGATAAGAAAGATACATATACATTTATGACATGGTTATAAAACATGAATTAAAAAAATCTGGTAGTAAATCTACAGGAATTTTGTCAAATAAGAAACAGTATGTTGTTGTGCAACAAAGTAATTATGTGGATTCTCCTTCATTCGTCTGTTCTGTCTGGGTATATGGGACCAAAGGATTGCTGGTATTTCCAGTGATTAAAGACGATGCAGTGCTGGATTTAGGTAAATCTGTATTATCTGACGTCGAAGTCGTCACCGCTTCAGTTGTATCCATGGTGTATTTCTTATATTTATTGTGGAAGTGAGAGGAGTGATTGATTCATTTTGGATCCATGTGGAGGTTGGCAGAACAG